AGTTACTACCATATTGTCTGGGAGGATAAAAACACTGACTTGTACATCGGCTGGCCCCGCAAGTCATTGTATAGGCCACATCGCATTCAAACGCCACTACGAATGTACAAATGGAAGTAGAATGCGTGCCGCATCCCAAAAAGGGATTGATCAACGGCAAATGCTTTATCCTTTATCCTTTATTAATGGCTCTTTCAATTCTCAAGTTGATGTGATCAGTCGCTCAGAAAGAACTTCACAGCATATCAAGTGAAGCTTAGCAAAGCAAGATTTTGCGTAACTGCAACTTTGTATAGAGTACTGGTCGTCGAGATCCGTTATGCGCCATTTACATGAGAATGAATACGCGTGGAAACCACGTTCGCTCAAGAGGATACCATTGATTATTCCCACTGTCGGTTCGATATGTAGTATTTCAAAAGAAGACCATAAAGTTTATTATTTTTATATACAAAGAAATTCACAGGTCTTCTTCATAGGTGACTGGCGGGAGAACTTCTTGCTTTGAGATGGGAGTTGTGTTGCATTCGGTGGCGTTCAATTTCCTTGCCAGCATTTCAATAGCAGCCTCCAAGGCACCGTGGTTCGATCTTTCGTACAGCACTACAACTATCAAAGCAAAGAATAGAGTCAGTGTGGCAAACATGAGCATTCGCTGAGATCTTTGTAGCCATTCACAGTGCAGTCGTAGCCGATCTATTTGTTCTTGCTGAAATATATTGAGTTCCAGTCAAACGCTTACCAACAAAAAAATAATAAGAATATTCACCTGGGAGCTAACACTGTTTTTCTTCCCACTCTTTCGTTATTTGATCCTTCACTGGAAGCATCGTCATTTATTCTGCATTTCAATCTCTGTTCCACCTTTCTTTCGTTGTCCGCTTTTTTCCAAAGTTCGCCAAACGTTTCGAGATTGTTGTTCTCTGTTTCAAGTGCCATGAGCAGGAATTTCTCTTTTAAGCAAGAGTTCTTGTACTCTGGAATGTTCATTATATTGTTACGGAATTCAGCAGTTTATTGAAGTTTTTGTAACCAATGTAATTTTCATTCGAAATTTTCCTGTACAAAATTTTCGCTAATTTTTCGAGAATTCATTAAAAAGTACCGTTTTGTAGGTAAACACGGATGATATCCGTCGATCCGGCGGGAATTAGCCCAGTGCTGGGACGAACTCGGAATTTCTCCGGTGATGTTGTTTTAATTTTGAACATCACGGGAGATTGCGAAACGTTTCGCACAGCCACCACATCTATATAGTCGGCATTATCGAAGCGGTTCAGAGTCAATACTTCACGTGGGCTGCAATTTGTAACTTTCATTCCGTAAAGTATTTCATATCTTGCGAAGTGACTGAATTAGCAAGCACAGTAGTACCGCAACAGGACGTTCTGAAAACGATACCTGAAGTTTCTCTCTGAAGAAATACCTTATATGAAGGAATGCATTCTTGATCCATTCAACATCAGGACTGCGTAATCTTGCCTCCACCATTGGTTTCAGACCCTGTGGTATACCGCGTTTCACTGATCCGTTGCTAGTTTTTCTAGTCAGTGTCAGCGGCACTTTCCTGTTTGCCTCTTCATCGTCGTCGTCGAACGTTACAGCCTGCAAAAATTTGCTGCTTAGTATGGCTTTGGCGTAGTGAAGTACTATGACGAATCACTTTCGCCTTGGAAGCCATTCGAAACGAAATCCGTCACGGTGGGTGACACGTGCAGAATACCAAAATATTAGTTCCCTACGAAGCTCGTCATCTATCTCACTATTCAAGCCTTAGTGCGAAGAATAAGCTTAATTGGACTATTTGAGGAAGTTCTCTCGCATTGAGTAGCCTTGCTAGTTCATCCATATCGAACTGAGAAGCTCCGTTGCTGGAACTCCGTTATGGGTAGTTACCACATTAAAGCTTAAAATGGAAATAGTTTGGACACATCTGAAACCCGATCAGAAATCAATATATCCTGATGTTTCTTGAGTGCAGAGGGCTGTTTTGCGATGATTCACATCGGATGTATTCCATGCAGATTGATGCTCTGCAAGTTTTTGTGCCTAAATGGAATTTATCAAAATCTTTCCGGCTCAAACACATCTGCTGAACCTTACTTTTTGTTCCAGTACAGCAAAATAGCGTACAGCAATAGCAGGAATCTTGTTAGTTTGAATAGCAAATTAATGAAATTGGGGCAATCAAAAGGGAAGAATAAAAGGTGAAGGTTTTGCATAACGTAGACTGACAAAGACTAACTCTTCT